GTGCTTGTTGGGAGAATTAAGTAGCATCTGAAGGTGTATCTGTAGTGCCTGAAACATCTCCTTGAATTTTAATATTCTTAATAGTAGGATGGGCTCTCTGTTCCAGAGTGCACTTCATAAACCTGTCCTTATGTCGATCTCTGCCCGTATATGTGTCTTCCTGCTTTACTGCCCACATGGGTAATCACATGTTCAGAATCATGTCTTCACAAGTTTTAGACAGTTAAAGGAATGCTGGCAGGACTCTGCCTTCCACTTCACTTTCCTCGCTAGTCCTCTACACTGTCCTCCTGGTCCCCTAGAGGAACCGCCAGGACGGAGTAGGAGCAGCCAGTCACATTCCTTATCCACCCTAGTCTTCACCTGCCGTTTGTCAGGCACCCACTCTCGGCATCTCCCCCATGGGCCCTTGTCCCCGGGGGGTCGGGCCGGGAGGGCATAGGACGTGGGGTGGGTCAGAGGGAAGCAGCGTGACTGCACTGTCGGGTCTGGGGGGGGAGCTTTGTCTCCAAGCTTTGTTTGTGTGCTTTCCTTCAAGGTGGTGGGCGCCAAGGTTGTGACAAATGCCCGGAGTCCGGGAGCTCGCTGCTATGGCTTTGTTACCATGTCCACAGCAGAAGAGGCCACAAAATGCATTAACCACCTGCACAAAACAGAACTCCATGGGAAGATGATCTCAGTGGAAAAAGTAAGGGGCCATTTTCTTCTCAGGGTGTGACTGTCTTAGGAAATAAGGTGATGCTTCCACCTGATTTTCTTTTTCAGGCAAAAAATGAACCTGCTGGGAAGAAAACTTCTGACAAAAGAGAAGGGGAGGGGAAAAAAGAGAAGTCTAGCAACGCTGACAGGTATTATTCTTCCTGGTGGGATTGTGGCCAAGATAGCCCTCCTCTTCATCTCATGCCCCTTATGTCTTCCACAGATGGGCAAAGTTGTGAGGCCCTTGCCCCCTTCACTTTTTCACATTTGCTGGAGGAATGTTTCACGACCACTCATGGGAGACGATCTCCTTACGCCAGTCCCTCTTCCAGGGCGCCTGTTCTCCCTCCTGTCGAGGCCTCCGCCTCACCACTCGATGCTTGTTGCAGGAGTCCAGCAGTGGCTGGTTTGCTTCCCTGAATTGCCCGTCTAACACTCTTCCATGTCCGGGGGTGTTATTTTCTAGGTCTGCAAACTTGAAGAGGGAAGACAAAGCCGACAGAAAAGATGATGCTAAAAAGGGTGAAGACGGGAGTGGAGAAAAGAGTAAAGATCAGGATGATCAGAAGCCTGGCCCCTCTGAGCGATCTCGAACCACAAAATCAGGTAGCTGCCCAGAGAGTGTGGGAGGTTTCACCTTGTGGTCTGTCCTGGCTGCTGTGGTTAGTTGGCAATGCAAACTGTGTTTCTTTTCCATGGAGTTGAGTATTTTTTCTCATTTGGAGGTGTCTCTTCTTACCTTGTTCCTTTCTTCCCACAGGAAGTCGAGGAACTGAGCGGACTGTGGTGATGGATAAATCTAAAGGTGTACCTGTTATCAGTGTCAAAACATCAGGATCCAAAGAGAGAGTGAGTGTTCCTTTTCCGTGTAGGGTATTTAGCATTTATTTTCTTTGACATTTTCTTTATATTTCTGTGTGTATCTTAGGGAGTTTCTGAGCTTAATTTGAGAAAAATTGTCAACTTTTTCAAAATGTAGGCTCTGAACTTTAAAAAAAAAGCAAAAACAAAATTGAGAAAGTTTAAAAACTTTCCTTCGTGCTTTGTTCTGCTGAGAATTGTTGCTTTTTAATTTTTTTAACTAATTTTAAAATTTAGTTATGGAAGTGATTGGCTTTTTCCTCTGAATCAGGGCGTAGCAGTCCGTTACCATTGCCTGCCCTGAAGGTTTCAGCAGCTCTCCCCCCGTGCATTTCTAAACCCACACGTGGCCCAGCTTGCCTCTAAGCCCAGTGTCCTCCTTGCACAGTCCATTCACTGTTTCCTTGCAGATGCTCCACAGAACCCAGAATCCACAAAGTACCAGGCCTTAGGTTCTTACCATTTCACTCTGCCTGCCATTGGGGTCATGGGCAGCTGTTGATGTTGTTATGTTTAACTTTTGACAGCCTTACAACTTTGATAAATAAAAGTCCAAGTCCCCAAGACTGCCCACATTCCGAAATCAACTCGGGGGACCACTGGACCCAGCATATGGGCTAAGATTGGCCTCAGTGATGCAGTGAGCATACACAGCCAAGTCACGCAGGGGAAGACACAGGCAGAGTCTGGAGGGAGTTCTGCATGCTTCCTTGCATTCTCGCCTTCCCATGATGGCGCCCGCCGCAATGAAAATGCAGCAGCACGCGGGTGCTGCTTCTCCCCTGGCAGGCCCACTAGAGCCTTAGCTCCCCAAGGTTTTTGTACTCGGGGCTGATCACATGAGCACTCACCCGCTCCAGGCAAGTACCAAATTTCCTGACTCCCGGAAGGAAAGCAGGTGTTCAGCATCATTTGCATGGTCTGGGCACAGTGAACCGCCCTTACCAGTTAATTGTCAGCTAGGGCACCCTGAATGCTAGATTGTCAGATGACAGGCCATTTAAGCTCTTGAATGTTGTGGACCAGTTGCAAGCTGATGTTTCCTCTGTGGGGTTTTCATTTCAGTCTGCATGTGTTTGTACAAATATTTTACTGTGTTATAGTGTTTTTTTTCCTTATTTTATTTAAAAAATTGCTTATAAAATGGTAAAATGAAAGTGGGTTCAAGGTCCAGGATGGGTAGATCTCAAAAAATAATAATAATGCAGTCTGCACAAATGTGGAATTCTCAAACATACCAGGAGTGGCCTCAGTTGGGCATCACTGCATGTTTAATTACAAAGGTAAAGGACAATATTAAAAAATGTGTTTTGGATGCAAAAGACAAAGTTTAAAATATTTTCTTGATCTCCTGAAAACTTTCTGGGGAAAATACTCATTTCCATTTTGACTCTTGAAAGTACTCAATGGGTCATATTTTAGTAATAAACGGTAATGACGGTTGGTGACTTTGAATTACGATAAGCAAACCTGCAGTTTCTTATGGGAGAACACTTTGTTACCTGATGATTTCATTAAACGTTCATCTTCAGTTTTGATCTCACTGGGTGCTTAGACTTGGACACACCTGATTCTTCCTATTGTCCTTTCTATCTTACCTTCTCCATGTTCCTTGATGGACCAGGTTTCCAAGAGCCAGGATCGCAAATCGGCCAGCAGAGAAAAGCGGTCTGTTGTGTCCTTTGATAAAGTCAAAGAGCCTAGGAAGTCCAGAGACTCGGAGTCCCGCAGGTGAGTCAGATCCAGGAATGTTGGCTGGTTTGGTTGTTGCCCTAGACTGGTGATAACTGTGTCCTGGAAAGATGTTTTCTAAGTCCCCTGTGGGTGGAATATTGATTTAAACCTCTGCTCCTTTGGCTTTTAGTTCGTAGACTTCCTGTGCACTGGCTCTCTTCCTGTGGCTTTTTTCAAAGGATTTTCTCATGCAGATAGGCCCACCTCTTCCTGAAGATTCTGGGAGGTACCAACAGCAGGGAGATGGGATGCCTTCCTGGAGCAGTAGTGCTAGTTAACAGAACATACCAGATTTGCTCCAGAAGCTGTGAAAAGGGAAAAACAGTGGGACAGACCCAGTGAGATAGCTGAGAGGTCCTCATCCTTAAATCAGCCCAAGACAAGGTCCTCATAATTTTTAAAAACTAAGTAAAAAATGGTATTGATCACACTGATTGACAGTTGATCTGTCTTGTCAAAAATAAAAGTTTACAATTTAAAAAATAAGAACCATTAGTAAAAAGTTTAGCAGAATAAGAATGAGAACAGGAGGCAGGGCATTGTTTTCTGTAGTGCACCATACAGAACTTCCTGCCAGAGAGGGACAGGCAGGGCAAAGGAAAGTGCAGTTTGGGTGAATTAATTGGCAAAACAGATCAGCGAAGCTGACCCATGTGCATGCAGTAATTTGACACAATAAAAGTGACATTTCCAACTGGTGAGAAAAGGACGAGCTGCCCCCCAGAACGGCTTCAGGTCACTTGGCTGTTTCTCTGGACAGTCCTTTGGGGTTCTGGCTCACATAACTGACAAAGCAGTCAGTATAGCTGGTGGCTGAATGTCAAAGTGAAAACTAAAGTTACCTGTATAATGTGAAGTAAAATTTTTATTTATGAATTTGAGCTTTGAGAGACCTGAACATTTTTAAAGGAGAAGTAGGCTAGATCACAATTTAACTTCTATACAATGAAAGACCAAAGAGGAAGTCCAAAGACTTATAACAAATGAGCATAAAGGTGCTTTAAAATAAATAAGCAGTGGGAATGGTATAGCTCAGTGGCATTGTGTGCTTAGCACACCCAATCCCCAGTACCTCCGTTAATATAAATAAATAAATGAGACAAACCTAATTACCTTCCCCCCGGGGGAAAAAAGATTAAAATAAATAAGCAAACAACCTGATAGGAAAGTGGACAGAAGGCAGTTCACAGAAGGGACTGTATACATGGTCACAAAACATGAAATGTCATTCAGCCTCACCGGAGATCAGGGACACGCAGATGAAAACAGCAGTGAGGCTAGTTTCCATCCGTCAGTGTGATCTGGGTTACAGCGTGCGGAGCTGGGTGCTCGTGGTGGCGGGAGAGGGGTGTTCGTGGGCACAGCCACCTGGAGAGAAGTCCCGCAGCAGCACACCCTTCTGAATCCTGGTGTCCCAGCAACAGCACTTACCCCAACCTGCCTGAAGGGAACTGTGCTCAAGAAAGTGGGGGCGAGGGGCCGTTTCCATAAGGCTGGGAACCACCAGAAGGCCCACGTCTGCCTGTAGTTCTGTAAATCGTGGCCTCTCCACTCCAGGGGCTTTTCCCTGGAAGCTTGCCATACATTTGTAGAGATGGGGACACGCAGGGCCCAGGACATGTTTTCTTGAACTGAGGAAGCTGCAGTCGTTTTTGTCCAAGATGCAGAAACAAAGCAGGGCAAGATTATACGTTTCTGCTGGTACCGTTGTGTCTGTAAGTGCAGAGCAGAGCACAGGGTGGACCTGGCAGCCGTCTTATCTGGCATGCACATGAACACTGGAGGGATGCGCCCTGGGCGCCATCAGTATTGCTGGCGTAAGAGGGGCTGTCTGTGCCCTCGGTCTGGGCGGGGCCTTGCTGCGCGCCACCGCTCAGCTGCCCTGGCCCTTGGTAGTTGCAAGGTCTAAAAGGATCTGCAGGTCTCGGCTTCCTAGGCGGAGCCGGGGCTCTGCAGCTATAAAGCTCACCCGCCTGGGAGAGGCCATCCGCACTGCCGCTGCCCGCGGGCCCCTGCAGCTGCTACTCTCCCGCCGGCAGGGTGCGTGAGCGCAGCGAGCGGGAGCAGCGCATGCAGGCGCAGTTGGAGCGGGAGGAGCGCGAGCGGCTGGCCATTGCCCGGGAGAGGCTGGCCTTCCACAGACACCGCCTGGAGCGGG